AGCCATGCTAGGCAGGTCCAACACACCCAGCCATGACAGGCAGGTTAAACACACACAGCCATGCTAGGCAGGTCCAACACACACAGCCATACTAGACAGGTCTAACACACACAGCCATGCTAGGTAGGTCCAACACACACACAGCCATGCTAGGCAGGTCCAACACACACAGCCATGCTAGGCAGGTCCAACACACACAGCCATGCTAGGCTGGTCCAACACACCCAGCCATGCTAGGCAGGTCCAACACACCCAGCCATGCTAGGCAGGTCCAACACACACAGCCATGCTAGGCAGGTCCAACACACACAGCCATTCTACACAGGTCCAACACAAACAGCCATGCTAAGCAGGTCCAACACACCCAGCCATGCTAGGCAGGGCCACCACACCCAGCCATGCTTGGCAGGTCCAACGCACACAGCCACGCTAGACAGGTCCAACACACACAGCCATGCTAGGCAGGTCCAACACACACAGCCATGCCAGGCAGGTCCAACACACACAGCCATGCTAGGCAGGTCCAACACACACAGCCATGCCAGGCAGGTCCAACACACCCCAGCCATGCCAGGCAGGTCCAACACACACAGCCATGCTAGGCAGGTCCAACACACACAGCCATGCAAGGCAGGTCCAACACACACAGCCATTCTAGGCAGGTCCAACACACACAGCCATGCTAGGCAGGTCTAACACACACAGCCATGCTAGGCAGGTCCAACACACCCAGCCATGCCAGGCAGGTTAAACACACTCAGCCATGCTAGGCAGGTCCAACACACACAGCCATGCTAGGTAGGTCCAACACACACACAGCCATGCTAGGCAGGTCCAACACACACAGCCATGCTAGGCAGGTCCAACACACAGCCATGCTAGGCTGGTCCAACACACCCAGCCATGCTAGGCAGGCCCAACACACCCAGCCATGCTAGGCAGGTCCAACACACACTGCCATGCTAGGCAGGTCCAAAAAACACAGCCTTTCTCACAGGGTCCAACACAAACAGCCATGCTAAGCAGGTCCAAACACACCAGCCATGCTAGGCAGGTCCACCTCACCCAGCCATGCTAGGCAGGTCCAACGCACACAGCCACGCTAGGCGGTCCAACACACACAGCCATGCTAGGCAGGTCAACACACACACCCATGCCAGGCAGGTCCAACACAACAGCCATGCTAGGCAGGTCCAACACACACAGCCATGCTAGGCAGGTCCAACACACACAGCCATGCTAGGCAATCCAATACACAACCATGCTAGGCAGGTCCAACACACCCAGCCATGCCAGGCAGGTCCAACACACAGCCATGCTAGGCAGGTCCAACACACACAGCCATGCTAGGCAGGTCCAACACACACAGCCATGCCAGGCAGGTCCAACACACACAGCCATGCTAGACAGGTCGAAAACACACAGCCATGCCAGGCAGGTCCAACGCACACAGCCATGCTAGGCAGGTCCAACACACACAGCCATGCTAGGCAGGTCCAACACACCCAGCCATGCCAGGCAGGTCCAACACACACAGCCATGCTAGGCAGGTCCAACACACACAGCCATGCTAGGCAGGCCTAACACACACAGCCATGCTAGGTAGGTCCAACACACACACAGCCATGCTAGGCAGGTCCAACACACACAGCTATGCTAGACAGGTCCAACACACACAGCCATGCAAGGCAGGTCCAACACACACAGCCATGCCAGGCAGGTTCAACACACACAGCCATGTTAGGCGCGTCCAACACACACAGCCATGCTAGGCAGGTCCAACACACACAGCCTTGCTAGGCAGGTCCAACACACACAGCCTTGCTAGGCAGGTCCAACACATACAGCCATGCTAGGTAGGTCCAACACACACACAGCCATGCTAGGCAGGTCCAACACACACAGCTATGCTAGGCAGGTCCAACACACACAGCCATGCTAGGCAGGTCCAACACACACAGCCATGCTAGGCAGTTCCAACACACACAGCCATGCTAGGCAGGTTCAACACACACAGCCATGTTAGGCAGATCCAACACACACAGCCATGCTATGCAGGTCCAACACACACAGCCATGCTAGGCAGGTCCAACACACACAACCATTCTAGGCAGATCCAAAACACACAGCCATGCTAGGCAGGTCCAACACACACAGCCATGCTAGGCAGATTCAACACACACAGCCATGCTAGGCAGGTCCAACACACATAGCCATGCTAGGCAGGGCCAACACACACAGCCATGCTAGGCAGGTCCACCACACACAGCCATGCTAGGCAGGTCCAACACACACAGCTATGCTAGGCAGGTCCAACACACACAACCATGCTAGGCAGGTTCAACACACACAGCCATGTTAGGCAGATCCAACACACACAGCCATGCTATACAGGTCCAACACACACAGCCATGATAGGCTGGTCCAACACACACAACCATTCTAGGCAGATCCAAAACACACAGCCATGCTAGGCAGGTCCAACACACACAGCCATGCTAGGCAGATTCAACACACACAGCCATGCTAGGCAGGTCCACAACACACAGCCATGCTAGGCAGGTCCAACACACACAGCTATGCTAGGCAGGTCCAACACACACAGCCAAGCTAGGCAGGTTCAACACACACAGCCATGCTAGGCAGGTCCAACACACACAGCCATGCTAGGCAGGGCGAACACACACAGCCATGCTAGACAGGTTCAACAAACACAGCCATGCTAGGCAGGTTCAACACACACAGCCAACCTAGGCAGGGCCAACACACACAGCCATGCTAGACAGGTTCAACAAACACAGCCATGCTAGGCAAGTTCAACACACACAGCCAAGCTAGGCAGGGCCAACACACACAGCCATGCTAGACAGGTTCAACACACACAGCCATGCTAGGCAGGTCCAACACACACAGCCATGCTAGGCAGGGCCAACACACACAGCCATGCTAGACAGGTTCAACAAACACAGCCATGCTAGGCAGGTCCAACACACACAGCCAAAAGCTAGGCAGGTTCAACACACACAGCCATGCTAGGCAGGTCCAACACACACAGCCATGCTAGGCAGGGCGAACACACACAGCCATGCTAGACAGGTTCAACAAACACAGCCATGCTAGGCAGGTTCAACAACAAGCCAACCTAGGCAGGGCCAACCACACAGCCATGCTAGACAGGTTCAACAAACACAGCCAGCTAGGCAAGTTCAACAAAAACACAGCCAAGCTAGGCAGGGCCAACACACACAGCATGCTAGACAGGTTCAAACACACACAGCCATGCTAGGCAGGTCCAACACACACAGCCATGCTAGGCGGGGCCCAACACACACAGCCATGCTAGACAGGTTCAACAAACACAGCCATGCTAGGCAGGTTCAACACACACAGCCAAGCTAGGCAGGGCCAACACACACCTCCATGCTAGACAGGTTCAACACACACAGCCATGCTAAGCAGGTCCAACTCACACAGCCATGCTAGGCAGGTCCAACACACACAGCCATGCTAGGCAGGTCCAACACACACAGCCATGCTAGGCAGGTCCAACACACACATCCATGCTAGGCAGGTCCAACACACACAGCCATGCTAGGTAGGTCCAACACACACAGCCATGCTAGGCAGGTACAACACACAGCCATGCTAGGCAGGTCCAACACACACAGCTATGATAGACAGGTCCAACACCAGCCATGCTAGGCAGGTCCAACACACACAGCCATGCTAGGCAGATGCAACACATACAACTATGCTAGGCAGGTCCAACACACACAGCCATACTAGGCAGGTCCAACACACACAGCCATGCTAGGCAGGTCCAACACACACAGGTATGATAGACAGGTCCATCACCAGCCATGCTAGGCAAGGCCAACACACACAGCCATGCTAGGCAGGTCCAACACACACAACCATGCTAGGCAGGTCCAACACACACAGCTATGCTAGGCAGGTCCAACACACACAACCATGCTAGGCAGGTCCAACACATACAGCCATGCTAGGCAGGTTCAACACACACAGCCATGCTAGGCAGGTCCAACACACACAGCCATGCTAGGCAGGTCTAACACACACAAACATGCTAAGCAGGTCCAGCACACACAGCCATGCTAGGCAGGTCCAACACACACAGCAGTGCTAGGCAGGTCCAACACACATAGCTATGCTAGGCAGGTCCAACACACACAGCCATGCTAGGCAGGTCCAACACACACAGCCATGCTAGGCAGGTTCAACACACACAGCCATGTTAGACAGGTCCAACACACACAGCCATGTTAGGCAGGTCCAACACACTCTGCCATGCTAGGCAGGTCCAACACACACAGCCATGCTAGGCAGGTCCAACACACTCAACCATTCTAGGCAGATCCAACACACACAGCCATGCTAGGCAGGTTCAACACACACAGCCATGCTAGGCAGGTTCAACACACGCAGCCATGCTAGGCAGGTCCAACACACCCAGCCATGCTAGGCAAGTCCAACACACACAGCCATGCTAGGCAGGTCCAACACACACAGCCATGCTAGGCAGGTCCAACACACATAGCTATGCTAGGCAGGTCTAACACACACAACCATGCTAGGCAGGTCCTACACATACAGCCATGCTAGGCAGGTTCAACACACAAAGCCATGCTAGGCAGGTCCAACACACACAACCATGCTAGGCAGGTCCATCACACACAGCCATGCTAGGCAGGTCCAACACACACAGCTATACTAGGCAGGTCCAACACACCCAGTCATGGTAGGAACGTACAACACACACAGCCATGCTAGGCAGGTCCAACACACACAGCCATGCTAGGCAGGTCCAACAGACACAGCCCTGGTAGGCAGGTCCAACACACACAGCCATGCTAGGCAGGTCCAACACACCCAGTCATCTCTTAACACTAGTTCAGCTTCTGGAAAGTCAAAATACAGGTGCGCATCATTCTATAATACTGGTTACTGAGTATATTATTTTATCTTTCTCTTAATTTCAGATACGCAAATAAGGATTACTTAACGCTAGAAGACTTCCATTTATTCTTGGAAGGAGAGCAAGGCGTAAGTGAAATCTCTCTATCTCTAGATCTAATTAAAGTAGACAAAGACGCCATATGTAGAACCGGGCTTTTGTAAATATATTAAAATATTTTATATATATTATATATTATATAATATTTATATAATATATATATATTATATTATTTTATATAATATATATATTTTATATATATAAATATAATATATATATTTGTATTATATATATATATATATATTATATATATATTTATATATATATATATATTATATATATATATATGTCGTGCCGAATATGAAAAAACTGGTCAATTAGCAAGAACTCATTTAAAATTAAGTCATTTCTAAAATTTTCTCTTATACGTTTAAAGATATATTTTTTTCATTAACGTTAATGTAAAAAATTTTAATTTTGCACCAAAAGAATCTTAGAAAACTTACCTAACCTTATTATAACAAGATCAATTTATTTTAGCCTAACCCAACAAAATATATTTAGATTTGTTTACAGAATTTAATACTAAACAAACACAGTGAAATATATTGTTTTCGTTAGGTTCAGAAAGGTTTTGGCGGAATTATTGCATACACAAATTTTCGCTTGTTCTGTATGGCAAGATGAGCGTTGCTATTTAAGGCAAGATCGCAAATTCTGCCTATTCGGCACGACATATATATATATATTATATATATATATATATATATATATTATATTATATAATATATATATATATATATTATATATATATATATATATATATATTTATATATATATATATATATGCAAACAATCGCAGTCGGGCGATCTTAACTATGCAGGACAAGCCACTGGGGGTGGAAATCTTTAGCTCAATTATTTTCACACTTCCCTGTGCGTCATCAGGAGCTGTGCATTGTTGAAAGTGTGCAACCAAAGCAGGGAGAGAAGTCTCAGAGTAGCGTAGGTGTCTCCGTCCACAGTTACCCTTAGACTGGGTTAGCGGTCGGTGCCAACCCCACCCTACCATCATCCCCGACTCCTCATACGGGGTTGGAGGGTTTCTGAGATGTCAAGTATGAAATTATAAGATATAAAAAGCCAACCCTAAGCTTTTTCTAATCGTTTATAACAGGTCATATGGTTTGAGAAAATAAGTTTCTCGTTAGATACTGTATACATGGATAGCTATTATTTTGAGTGACCTTTTCAAATAATTAAAGAAAGGAATACAATGTGATCTTTGTCCGTTTAAATTTCCTGCTCTGATGTACTCGAATGTTCTACCGATGCGCTTGCATATTTTAAATCCTACCATTCTAATAGGTATCAATATGTCACTATTAAAGACAGCCTCATCAATACGGCCACTTGATACTTGAGTTCCGCAGGGAAGTGTCCTTGGAACCCTGCTCTTCCTCATTTACATCAATGATCTTCCAAACATATCCCAACACCTGAAACCCATTCTCTTTGCTGACGACACGACTTATGTCATCTCCCACCCTAATCTTGCCACCCTCAACACCATTGTTAACGAGGAGCTGCTCAAAATATCGACTTGAATGACAGCCAATAAACTTACACTTAACACTGACAAAACCTACTATATTATGTTTGGTAGCAGAGCAGGTGTTGCGCAACTTAACATTAAGATCGACAACACTCTAATTGCCAGACATAATGAGGGCAAATTCTTGGCCAATAGCTCGACAAAACCTAATTTCAGCACCCATATCCAACACATAACAAAAAAAGTATCCCAAAATGGTGGGATCCTCTCCAAGATACGATACTACGTGCCGAAAAACTCCCCTTTTCACACAATACCATTCACTTATATATCCATACCTCATCTTTTGCTATCTGTGCTTGTGGTTCAACTGCAGAAAACACACCTAAAGCCAAATAATAACCCAACAAAAAGCCGCAATAAGAATAATCACTAAATCCCATCCCTGGCGACACCCCCCACACTCTTCATAGATTTTAAACTTACTCCTGTTCAGAACACCCCACCTTACTACTGTGCATCTATATCTACAGGACCTTAAATTCCAGTTTTAAAACCTTAAACCTAAAACGCTTTCTTGATAGTTGTGACGGGATCCACAGGCATAACAACAGACACAAACCTCTATTGACATTCCCCGTGTCCGACTAACCTTTACAAAAATTCAATGTATTTCAAAGTACCAAAAAATCTGGAACACCCTACCTGAAAACTCTAGAACTGCAGCCCACACTCATCACTTTCAAAACTACAGTTAGAAAACATCTTATCTCCCTGATACTCCCCCGACAACTAACTACATGATAACCACCTGGTGGTTCACAATTTCACTCACCCACTGACTATAAACACAGAAATACTAATCTTAATCTTAAAATAATGAATCCTAACTAGTCATAAGTTTGCCTATGATACTCCAATATAGACACTTTGTATTGTGCTAAAACAAAAGCATTCACATTGCTAAACTCACAAATTATAATGTAGTCACCTAGCCTTAATACCATAATCTGTAAGGATTTAATGTTAAGAACTAATCTAAGTCTGCCGGAAATGCCTAGCCATGCTAGGTGTCCTAGTGGCCCCCTCTGTAATTAGTGTTTTATAACATGTAAACCACACAATATCCAAATCCTGTAAACCACACATTGTAACTCTTATAGAGAATAAACTTGATTTGATTTGATTTGATTTGATGTACTCAGAAGTATCTCTTCCGAAATATTGTCTACAATTTTCTCAGTGGCTGTTAATATGCCATACATGGGGACTTCTATGCCTATCAGATAATATTTCTATGATCTAAATTCTACTAATACCCTTTAACCTCTCCTTACTTTATCTTGTGTGCTTGTCACTCTATGGTACATTAACAGCTACACGCGTTATATAACCATCACAGCTGACGTGGTGTGAAGTTTTGGTACGTAGACACTGGTCGGGCGTCACTAATCCATCAACCCACCTGGAATAATGAACAATCCTGTGATTTTTTATAGCATTGTTGTTTAAGATTGTATACAGTGGACTCTGCCAAATAATTATCGAGCTTGTATAACCCATAATTTGAGTTGTATACTGTATTCCTTTCATGTTTCAAGAGGGAAGATTCAATTGTTTCTTTCCGTGACAGAACTGTTTGGTACTGTAATCTAGGCAGCATCCCACCCCGGTGGGTGATTACATGCACTAACGTGGTTAAAGATGGCGTTCGACTCCTGTCCTGTCCTGACTGAGCATTTATGCTGGGCAATTCTGGTTTCCAGGAATTTACCTGTTTGACCTATATATGGGAGAGGACATTGAGTACATGGGACCTTGTAAACTCCACCAACTTTGTTGGAGGGTGTGTTTTTAATCAGCCTTTGTTTCACTGTTCCCGTGTTTTTGAAAGCAAGGTTTATATTGATCTTTTTTAATGCCTCACGGAGGCAAGCCAGATTCTCATTGTATGGTAAAACTAGTACATTTTTCCTGGCCATCACTTCTTTAGGTTCAGTCCTGTAGAAAGCCTTTCTTGGTGACATTAGTGTCTCCTCGACAAAACCCTTAGGATATCTTAGTTTTGTGGCTATGTTGAATATCTTGCTGATTTCGTCCTCTAGGTACTCTGGACTGCAGATGCGCAAGGTTCTCAAGAACATTTTGAGGAACACACTCCTTTTTACCCTGGTTTCGTGGTTGGAATGGTAGTGAATGTATGACGACACATTGGTGGACTTCCTGTAAACTGTGAATTTCAATTTTCTATCGACACGATGGATTAAAACATATAGGAACGGCAAAGTGTTATTTATTTCATGTTCTGTGGTGAACTTAATGGAAGGTACTAAGCCACTGAGTCTGGGAAGAAACTCATCAATGCTGTGATCATTAGGCCACAGGCAAAGAACATCATCTACGTATCTGAACCAACTAGCTTTATCTGGGAGAATGTCTTGAAGATGTCTGGTCTCATAGAATTCCATATATAGGTTGCTGAGTAAGGGGCTAAAGGGATTTCCCATTGCCATACCTTGTTCTTGAGCATAGAATTTCCCTTCAAACACGAATTTGCAATCAGTAACACAAAGTTTTACCAATTCAATTATTGTTTTCATGGGGAAGGGCATGGAGAAGTTTTCTAGTTCCTCTTCGAGGTACGAAAGCAAGTCAGGGGCAGGGACTTTGGTGAACAGAGCTGTGACATCAAAGCTCACTAAAGAAAAGTCATGAGGGACATTTAATTTCAGGAGCCTCTCAGTGAGGTTAACATTATTTTTAATATGTGCGTCCATGGGAGTTAGAAGTTTAACCAACCATTTATATAGATTATATACTGCTGAGCCTACTAAACTAATAATGGGACGAGCTGGGTATCCTGGCTTATAGGTCTTGATTACCCCATATAGATATGGTAGAGTTGCTGACCTAGCTGACAGATATTTAACGTTTTAAGGTGTTTACTAAAATGGCTGTTGACTTGGTCAGTGGGATTTTTAATGAGCGGTTCATACGTTTCATTATCACTCAATAAATGGTTCATTTTCTCTAAATATTCAGTTTTGTCCAAAATAACAGCCACCTTAGATTTATCACCTCGTGAGAGATCCAAAGGCTGATCATTATTGAGTTCTTTGTAAGCTTTTGTGAGTCTTAATGGGCTATCCACGTCTACTGTATCTAACGAGAAACTTATTTTCTCAGACCACATGACCTGTTATAAAAGATTAAAAAAAGCTTAGGGCTGGATTTTTATATCTTATAATTTCATACTTGACATCTCAGAAACCCTCCTACCCCATATGGGTAGTAGGGAGATGATGATAGGGTGGGGTTCGCACCGACCACTAACCCAGTCTAAGGATAACTGTGGTGGGCGACACCTACGCTACTCTGAGACCTCTCTCCTTGCTTTGGTTGCTCCTTTGTAACACAGCTTCTAATGACGCACTGAGAAGTGTGAAAGCACTTGAACTAAAGATTTCCAC